AATAATATAACTACACATATTAACTTCAATTCTAAAAGAATATTTCATTTCCGTTTGTTGCTTAAACTTCAATGACAGTTTCTTCAAAACCTAAAAAGAAAAAACATCAAAATTTAACAAAAACATTAATCTATTCTGAAAGAATATTAATGCTAAGGATTACATTATATATTCTGATGTCATGTTTTCTTTCTTTTCCACATCAGAATGCAAACTATGGTTATGAAATTGGTTCAAAAAACTTAAGGGCTCCATAAACAAATAATAATAACATAAGAAATTCTTCACCATAATAATCGAGTTATATCATAATAACATTTTGTAAGAATGACTTAAAAACAAGGTGAAAGATCTTGCAACAAATTAATAACATTGTACAGCATATAGCAAAATGCGACTAATAAAAAAAAATGATTGTAACATATTGAAAAAGGTAAATTTGCCTAAAACCATTCAAATACTCTAATAACGTTTTTGTACTAGCAATTAGTAATCTAAACTTACCAACAGTTACAAAAAGTCTTACTCTGTATATATAAATAAACAATTGATGCAAATAGTAAAAAAAGAACATGCTGATGAAATATGAACACCTCTAATTGCCAATGACATAAAATTAACAAAAAAACACCTCCTGCATAATATTTTTAAATTTGTTTCAACTAATTAAAAAAGACATTTATGTTTACTTATTCTTAGAAACGTATTTTAACTAATATGTTTCTCTCAAACAAAATTAACCAATTGTTAAAAACCTAGTTACGAAGTATCAATTAATCGGAAGAACATATGCAATTATGAATTCAATTGCGAATAAGAAGTTACTTTTAAGAAAGAAATACTTACGTCAATTACATCTCTTCCATTTTCCTTTTCCCTCTCATTTACATCTCTTCCATTTTCCTTTTCCCTCTTTGAAATCGGACTCAAACCTCAAGGAATTGTGCCTGGGACGTTATCAATTGAAGAAATTCAATCCATATTACTATTAAAATCATCTTTGATTTGTATAATAAACTCATTTGTTTGAATTTTTTCCTCCAAGAAACCAGAGGATTTGTATAAACCTAACATCAACGATGGATGGTATCTATTTAAAGACATGGTTTATTGGGAACAGGACTCCGATCACCGCAACCGATGAGATTCGTAAAAACACAACTCAAATTACTACCTCCGCTGTCAGCCGGACGACGACAAGTGCGATTTCATCGGAGAAAACTTCAGTGTCAGGTTCCTCTGCTCATCGGACAACAGGAATCGAAGAAGGAGATGGAAGATGGTCGATTGTAAAATCAGAAATTAGGTTTAAAAATTAGAAATTGAGTTCAAGAACATACCAGGGCTATGATGTTGGTGTACGGCGGCAACTATATACCGATTTCGGTGATGAAATACGAAGCCGACGATGGAGAGGGAGGAAGAAGAAGATCCGGCAGTGGCAAGATGAGGGATACAGAGGTATGTCTGCGAATGGTCGATGGTTATAAAGAAGAGATATTAGGTCAACATATATTTATTTTGTTTCCTTAATTGCAAGTGTAAAAAACAAGAAATGCCCTTTTTGGTGCATTTAGGAAATTAAATAATTATTTAATTAAATAAATATAGATATTAAATGATTTCCATAATTATATGTATATTAAATGATATCCATAATTATAATTTTCTTTATTATGGAAACTAATTAAATCCGTCATTAATGTCAGCAATAACATTCTTTCAGAATAAATTCGCATCTAGGTTTTTATATATGAGTTCGTATTTTTATTCAGTACTTACTCACTTAAAATACAATAAAGTTGAATGGAATATGAACAACGAGAGTGTATTCTACTAGATACACTCTCATTCTGCTGGAATACACTCTCTTCATCTAGATATGAATTCATTCTGAAAGAATATTATTGTTGACATTAATGACGAATTTAATTAGTTTCCATAAAAATGAGTTATAAGTATGGATAACATTTAATATACATATAATTAATACTAAATTCCTATTGGTGCATTCTAATACACGATGTGAAAAACATTTGAACCTACCTTTCTTTCTCTCTCTCTCTCTCTCTCTCTATATATA